TTACCCTCGTCTAACCGCTCACCGTATCTCCCTGCTTACGACCCTACATTCTCTCCCCATACTCGTCTCTGGCTCGTTCTTCTCCTCGTTCACGGCTCTCTCCTCCTCTCGTTCCTGGCCCGTATCTTGACTCTTCCCCTAGGTCTCGTCGTCCTGCTATTGCTTGCGCCTCATCTCCCGTCCTTGGTATCCACTCTATGATCCTCCGTTCTCTCCCCCCTCGTGTTCCGCCACCTCTTGTTCCCTCGTTACCTCCTCCGTCATCTCTTTCTGCCTCCCCTCCTCCGTTATCGGCCTTCCTCCATGCTGCTCGCCCTACAGTCTCCCGTATCTTTTCCTCCCTCGTTACTGACCCTACTCCTCCTCTCTCGCATGTCTCCGCTCTTGTCGCTGCTGTAGTTGACTTCGCCTCCACTCACTACTTTGATTATTCCACTCAGTTAATCACTGCTCTTGCCCGTCCTCCGTTCGTCGGGGGTGCTCCTGCCCTTGACAGTGACGTCCTAGAGGATAGGCAGTTCGAGCTGGCTTGCCTTGCAGCCATTTCTCCTCACATCTGTGCCATGCTAATAACCCTTGAGGGTGACCCAGGTGCTCTTGACATCCCGACCCCTCACACCTACGCTGGGGCAGTCTCGGGACGTTGGGCCTCTTAGTCGATAGCAGCCACGAACGCAGAGATGGCATCTTGGAGGTCCACAAGCACATGCGTTGACGTAGTGCCCATCCTAGGGCGAACGGAGTCGATGGCATGTGGATCTTCAAGGTGCGCAATGTGACGAGAGGAAGTTGACTTCTTTCAGAAGTTCTCCCCCACCCCGACGATAATCACTCTTCGTGTACTGCTACACATCGCGGCACAATGCGATTACGAGCTCCACTCGCTTAACTTCTCCACTCCCTTTCTTAAGGCCAGCCTGCACAAGCAGATCTGGCTCTGCCGTCCATCTGGCTTCACCAGGACCATCTCTGGGACCCAGTGGAGCCTAAGGCAACCCCTCTATAGTCAGCGCGAAACTCCTTGTGAGTGGCACGACACTCTGCGCACTACTCTGGCTGCACTCAGCTTCTTCTCGTCTTCAGCTGACCATTTTCTCTTTGTTTGATCTGGCTTGACTCCTTTCTACATCCTTGTTTTCATCGACGACCTCGTTTTCACTACTCCCGACAGGGTTTCACTGGCCTCAATGAAGGCCGAGCTGCTGAGCTATGCGAGTTGCGGTGCTATGTTGGCTTGTATATCAATAAGGATAGAGCATCGCGTACCTTCACTCACAGTAAAGCAAATCCTCGACCGCTTTAGCCTTCAGTTCACTTCAGCACAGCCGTTGGCGGCGTGCTGTGGCGCTAGCACTGCTTCTTCCTCCCTTGTCCCTATTGCCAGCCCTCCTACTCCACCCCTATCTTGTCCCACCCACTCTGCTAGTACCATTCTCTTTGCCCCAACCAACCCCACAACCCGAAGGGCTGCCCCCTCTCTGTTCCTTCCCTACCCCACCTATCTCGTGCTCAGCTCTACCTGACCCTACCATCCCCTCAACTGCTGGCTCTGCATCCCTTCTTCCTTGGCTTTGCTGCACCGCCCCCGGTTGCCCCTACCAAGCTTCTTACTCCCCCCCTATCCCGCCCTTATTCCCTTGCCACAGCGCCTCGCTCTTTCTCAGGTTGTCCTCCAACCCTAAAGGCATCCCTCCATATCTCCTCTCATGCCCCGTCTTTCAAGTGTTCCACCCATCCTGCCCCTCTCGTACTCCCACCTCCTGCTATTGACACTACCACCCCCCTTGCTGCTGCCTCCATGCCCCCTTCTGTCCTATCTGTTGGCCCTCCTTCACCCCCCCTATTTGCCTCCGCTCCCCCTGCCATTGGCACACGCCCCATCCCAACCGGTTTTCCTACCCGAGAAGGTGCCTCCCACATGTCAACCCTTGCCATTCTTGTCCCATGTTGTCTGTGTCCTCTCTGCCCCAGCTACCTCCATTCCTACCCCAAGCCCCTCCCCCAGTGTAGGCCCAGCCACTGCCATCCCTGTCTCTCCCCTACCTGCCCCATCGCTCCATCGGGCACTATCCCTCCCTCCCCCCCCCCCCCCCCTCTTCCCCCTCCCCCCCCCCCCCCCCCCCCCCCCCCCCCCCCACCCCCCACTTCCCCAACGGTCCCCCCCAGGCTGCAGCCCTACTCGATCTCCCCTCCGTCTCCCCAGCTCCTGCTGCCGTTTCATGTGCCTCTCGCACAACAGGGCACCTACATACTCTCTCCCCTTCCCCTTCCGCTCCAACTACTCTGTTTGTGCACCCATATCAGGGCTAATTTTTTGTTTTAGGCAACCCTTATTATCAGTCCTGCACCTTTGCAAAACCCTGATTATCAGTGTGACCCCTTGCGAAAATTATTTTCCATCAGGGTTTTCCATTGTTTCAAAAATTTTACCCTAAGGCCACAGTGTAACAATTTTCATAACCCTGATGAAGTGTTTCGACAGAAGTTCTGAACAAAAGAACCAGCTCCAGTATTTGAACCCGGGTCTTCATCCTTCCGAAGACCAATCAACGTGATAATTTATATAAATATTTTCTATTTAAATTGTTTGAATTAGGGGGACAGAGGTGCGGGGGCGGGTTGGGGGGGGGGGGGGGGGGTGGTGTGGGAGGGGGGGGGGGGGGGGGGGGCAAAACTCGCTAAGAAGAACGGTAACCCTGGGGCGACAGTGTGCCTTAGACGTAAACCCTGGCATATCAGGAAAATCTAAGCTCCAGAGATTTTTACCCTAAGGCATCAGTGTGACTACCGAAAACCACCCAGATTATCAGTGTATCAGGGTAATTTACACTGATAAAATTAGCCCTGACCCATATCCATCTTCCCTTTCACTCCACCCGCTGTGGCCCCAATCTCCCCCCTCCCCGCCATGTGCGCCGGCCCCTCCCCTCCGTCCCCTCTTCTTGCACCCTTCGAGTCCCCTCGATCCCTCTTGTGCCCCTCGGACACAAGCAGCGACATTGAACGCATGCGTTCAACGAGAGGGCACTAGAATTTCATGAAAAAATCAGATCAACGAGTTCTTAATTGCAAAATGCATATGATAATCACAGGCAAAGTGGTTGTGGAATCGTCTACATACGCTATAGACTCACTTGGAGTACCAGTTGGGTTAATTTTCTGTTTGTGAGAAGATAAGGGTTTTTGTTCATGGTGCTTTTTACGGTGACGTGTTTCGCTATTGTCATGAGACCTGTAACTGAAAAAAACGCATGGAAACGGCAAACTGGGATTGTGTCGGTGGAGGCCCTTCCTCGCACACGCAGTCCGCATGGAGGAGGTTATCAGTCGGTTTGTTTGTTTCCGTCAGATCTCTGTCACGTCACGACCGCGACAGGGGGGACGCGCTCAACATGTGGTGACCAAATCGTGCTTCAGATACTGCGTTTGTTCGTCAACCAATAATAGAAAAGCTGCAGCCTTTTTCTCCGTCAACAACACGCGATGCTGCGACAAAAGGCACCCATGGCGAACGTCGTTGTCCAATAAACACGGTCATAAAAGGGGAAGGAAATACTGTACAGGAAGCAGGCAGGAACCTCGGTCGCAATGGCAGGGAAGCTTGCCGCGTTCTGCCCGTCCAGAGTCGAACGGCAAGTCTCAACAACTTCCGCTCTTCCCGCCATTCCGCCACTTGGTTCCGCCGCCCCGAATCCCCTCTTCATCGAGCCATTCGCCGCCCCAAGTCGAGCCCTCCCTCCCTCGCTTTCGACCTCTACCGGACCGAACCCCTTCCCCCCCCCTCCCGTTGAGCGATTCCCCCCACTTCCCGATCTCTCCAGTCCACCACCACCCCCCACCCCCCCCCACCCCCTCCCCCCCCCCCCCCGCCCCAACCGCTGCTTGTTTCCATATTCTCCCCATCGATCAGGTACAGTATATTATTTTATGCTTCCACCAATTTTCTCCCACCCATTTCCTGCGCGTTGTTTCCCCACCGATCTCACTGTCGCTTTTCCGGAAGTGTTCGGTTTTCACCCATCTGTTGTTCATTGCCCAATTTATGGGGTTCAGTGTCCCCTTTTTCGTGTCCCAGGTTGCATTCTCCAGGATTCCATTGGTCTGCTCTGCTGCTGATGGTGCAAGTGTCTGGTTGTGCTAACAGTGGGCAGAAGGCAGGGAGCAGGCAGAAGGATAAAGTCACTTGATTGTCTGTCCAGCCACTCCACTCGACAGCACAGCAGCACTGCTTGCTTCAGTCGTGCTTGAAGGATAATGTGGGTTTGGTTGCTGCGTTGCTGCAATACAGTTCCGCAACAAGCGCTCGTTTCATGAGGTGTAAGGAATTCTGGTTGGCAGAGGAAAGGGAAGTGCAGAGCAGAACGGCAGACGGATCATCCACAACAAGAAACAGCATCCCTTTTCCACGTGTACTGTTGCGCGTACACACTCGCGTCTTAGCTGCTTGACATTCGAGCGACTGTAGTATTATTGTTCCTCGATCGAGTAACCTACGCGGATTAATGTCAGCCTGTTAACTGTCAGCCAAGAAAGTGACTTTTGTCGCTCCTCGTCGAGCGGAAAATAGAAAGGTCATGGCTGAACTTCCAGCTTCATTCTCGACCGATTTTAAGATGGTCGATCAACCAGGCTCAGTAGGCGATGGGGTATTCAGGCATGCGGGTACGTCCGCAGAAGTGGAAGACACGGGACGGACGATGAACGTAGACGTAAAAGTTGACGGAACAGAATGGTCGAATCCGTTAGGGTTTGAGGGTACAGTGTCCAGGGAGGACACAGCCATGGCTACGGCTGACGAACCTGGAAGGATTTCCTTAGGCGGAGCCGAATCTCAGCAAGAACACGATCAGCAACGGCAGCAACAGCAACAGGAGAAGCAGCGCGATCAGCTTGCGTCAGGCGCTTCGATGATGGCTGACGTGGCAGCTGGCGATGGTGGCGACGGCGACGACGGCAGCGACGGCGAGGGTTCAGGAGGCGAGGATGCTCACGCGGGAGTGATGTTTCCGCGAGCCAACACCAACGCCAAGGGACAGTGGACCCCGGTACGCCTTTTTAGGTATTTTCCCTGTAAGGTATTTCAAACGCTCTCTGAGGGGGAGAGATGTTTCCGCAAGCGAACATAAAGCCAAGAGTCAATGGTTCCTGGTACGCATTCTTGGATTTTTTGTTTCAGATGCTCTAGTAACCAATCAGAGACACCAAGGGGGAGCGAGCGATGTTTTCGCGAGCGAAAACCAGCGTCAACGCATCTACTTGACCTCTGTACGGATTCGTAGGTTTTAGATTGAGACAGATAAAAGCGATTACGAAACGCCAGGTATTGATGTTTTTGGCGAGCTAACGTCAACGTTAACGGGTCCCGGGGTCCGGTTCGGATTCTCGAGTCTCGTGTTCCATGCTCAGTCGATACTCTTCGTGTGGTGACCTTTTTTAGGCGCCTCGAAATAGAGTCTTTGTTTTGACGAATATGTGTTTTTTTGTAAGATGAGTACCTTTGAAGCGTGACCGGATCAGCAGGTCACGTCACGGTACGGGTTCTCCATTTCTGCGTTTCGCGCCAAAAGGGTGCTGTGCGTGAGAGGATGAATGATAAAAGTGCAAATTCTGATCCTTCAGCGTGGCCAGTATTTTCGGTGCGAACGAAGTGCTAAGCCTTGCTGCAAATGAAAGATCCAATCTTGCTGCGAACAAGTGGTATAATAATGCTGTACGTCTTGAAGTATATGATCCATTTAATTAGTAAATATTTCATTCGTCGAGCCCCTGAAGAGCCTCCAAGCCAGCCCTTGTACCTTCACCTCGAATGGCTTGAGATGAATTTTCCCATTTGCCCAAGATGTTCCTTCCACACGTTGAAGAAATTTTCCGACTTCCTTCCCATTAACAAACCCTATTCTCCTTATTTCCAGGAGGAGGACGAGCTGCTGCGGAAACTGGTGGAGAAGGACGGAGCCCAGCGGTGGTCCGCCATTGCGGCGCACCTCAAGGGGCGCGCGGGGAAGCAGTGTCGCGAGCGGTGGCATAACCACCTCAAGCACGGAATCAAGAAGGTGAGACGGAGAGAATGGATTTTTAGGTCAAAACTCGGTAATTGTGTGTATTGGAAAATCCCATACTCGTGGGGAAGCAGTGCTGTGAGTGAGCGGTGGCACAACCACCTCAAGCACGGCATCAAGAAGTTGAGGAGAAGACAAATAAGGAGGTGAGATGGAGAGAGGTGAAATTTAGGTCAAACAAGGCGGTTGCGTGTATCGGAAAGTCTCTTACTTGTGGAGAAGCCGTGCTGCGAGCGGTTGAAGTCTCTTACCATCTCAAGCACGGCATTAAGAACGGGAGGTGGAAAAGTGGTGAGTTTCGAGTATCAAAGCATCTCACGCAAGCAGGGGAAGCAGTGTCGAGAGCGGTGGCACAACCACCTGAAGCACGGCATCAAGAAGGTGAGACGGAGATAGAGTATTATGAACTTCATAGAAGCAGCTTATGCCTTCTAATCTCACACCCAACGCTCTCCCCCGCCCTTGCAATCCATCACTTCTCCCCCCATCCTCCCCTCTGGCAGGACGCGTGGACGGAGGAGGAGGAGGCGAAGCTAGTGGAGGCGTACAGGAAGCTGGGGAACCGCTTATAGTGGGGAGCCGTGTGTGGGGTATGATCCTTCCCGCATGACATTAGACTCCCCCCCTTCTCTCCCGTCTTCCCACAGGACGCGTGGACGGAGGAGGAGGAGGCGAAGCTGGTGGAGGCGCACAGGAAGCTGGGGAACCGGTGGGCGGAGATTGCCAAGCTGCTGCCGGGGCGCACAGACAACAGCGTGAAGAACCACTGGAACTCAACTATTCGTCGAAAGGTGGGTGTGTGGGATGGGGAAAGAAGACAAGAGGTGGGGAATGGGGAAAGAGGCAAGCTAGGGCGCACAGACAACAGCGTTAAGAACCACTGGAACTCCACCATCCGCCGCAAGGTGAGTTGGTGGGAAGTGTGTGTTGGGGGGGAGGAGTGTGTGAGAGGGATGGGTGGGTGAAGGGAAGACGATGGGGAGAGAGGGCAGGGGGTGTTGGGGCGGACAGACAACAGCGTGAAGAACCACTGGAAGTCCACCATCCGCCGCAAGGTGTGTACCGAGGGGGATTGGTGGGTGGGAGTGGTGGACAGTGGTTGGAATATGTAAGGAAAGGAGAGAGGCAAAAGAGGGCAAACAAGGGCGCACAGACAACAGCGTGAAGAACCACTGAAACTCCACCATCCGCCCAAGGTGGGTCTGTGGGTTTGGGTGATTAGGGGGGAAAGTGGTAAGGGAGTGGGCGGTAGTGGGAAAAGTGGGGGATATTTGGGGTGGGGGATAGTGGGAGAGTGGGGGAGAGTACAGGGGGGAAGGGCAAGTCTTCTCGCAGCAAGGCAGTGCAGCGCCCCACGCTTCCCCTCAGGTACATCTAGTCACTCACGACTTCCCTTTCTCCCACCACCTTTCCGTTTCACCACCCTATCCCACCCCACTCCACCGCATTGCACCACCCCACATCAGGAGGAGTCATCTCGCAGCAAGGCAGTGCAGCGCCCCACGCTGCTCCTGAGGTACATCCAATCGCTCAAGACCCAGGGGGGGCTGGGAGGCGCAGCAGGCAGCACTGGCGGGGTGGGAGGCATGGGGGGAGGCGGAGGTCTGGGAGGATTCGGGGGGAGCAGCTTCTCCGGGGGAGGCCCTGGCGGGTTCAGCACGGGGATGGGCATGAGGGGAGGCATGGGGGGAGGCATGGGGGGAGGCATGGGCGGAAGCATGGGCAGAGGCATGGGGGGACCCATGGGCATGGACATGGGAATGAGTATGGGCATGGGCATGGGCGCAGGAGCAGGGGGAGGGGGAGGGATGGGGTTGAGCCTGGGGGAGCTGATGCAGGGGCTCGTGAAGGGGGAACCCGCGTCCCCCTCCGCCTCTGCAGGCCTGGGCGGGTTGGCTCTCCGCGTGGGTCAGGGGGGACCCTTCAGAAGGGAAGGAGGGCCCTTCAGAACCGCCGTTCCCCGCTCTGTCTCCCAGCCAATCAGCCATGCAGCGTCAGCAGGTGGAGGGGGAGGAGTGGGAGCAGGAGCAGCAGGAGGAGCAGTGTTTCCCCCTGGGTCGTTTAGTTCAGTGCAAAGGGCAGCAGGGGCAGGCAGAGCAGGGGGGGCAGCAGCAGGAGCGGGAGGAGCAGGGGGGGCAGCAGCGGCTTTCCCACGCAACCCCTCGTGGCCTCCCGCAGGAAGCTCTGTTTCCGACGGGGGGAGTTCCGGAGGGGAGGGAGACGGGCACGAGCAGCAAGCAGGGATGCGGCAGTCAGGGGGTGGTGGCTTCACAACCGGAGCAGCACCAGGGGGTATGGGGCCAGTGGGAATGGGGGCAGGGGGGTTGGGGGGGAGAGAAATGGGGCCAGGGGGGATGGGCGCGGCTGGATTCATGCGCTCGTCCTCTCTCTCCGGGGCTGAGTCCCGCGCGCGCCAGCACAGCCGTGGATCGTTTCTCGGCGCGCGATCCGGGCCGTTGGATGCGGCCCGGGGCGGCGATCGACGGTCAGAGTTGGACCGGGCAGCAGCAGAGTTCCAGAAGGAGATCGCCAGGGCGTTGCTGGCGCCTGGTATGGGGCGGGCCCTATCCATGCCTTTAGGGTATGCCAACACTGCAAATGCCCAAGCTGCCGCTGCCGCCAATGCTGCTGCTGCTGCCAATTCCACTGCTAATGCTGGTGCTGGTGGTGCTGCTGGTGGTGCCGGTGGTGGTACTGGTGCTACTGGTGGTGCTGCTGCTGCTCCTCCTCGTCTGTCTCTCTCCTTCCCCACTCCCGCCAACCCTGCCCAGTCCTCCTCCTCTGCAGGCTCCCCGTCCGGTCACTCCTTCTTTTCCCGCTCGCGCTTTGCTAAAAGTTCGTCCGTGCCGGGGAGAGTTTCTGCCTCTGGGTCGGAGGATGGGGGCCGGGGGGGATGGGGCCGGGTTGGAGGGGATATGGGCGCAGCTGGGGGAGCAAGGGGAGCAGGGGGAGCGGGGAGAGCAGGGGGAGCAGGGGGGGCAGCAGGGGGAACAGCAGGGGGGGCGGGAGCAGGTGGGGCAGCAGCAGGATCTGAGCTGCTGGCGCTGCTGCAGCTGGTTCTCGATCCCTCCCTTGCTGCTACCGTTGCTGCTGCTGCTGGCCCCGTGGGGGGTGAAGGCAGCGGAGGTGGGGCAAGGGGAGGAGGAGGAGCAGGAGGGGGAGGAGGGGGAGGAGGAGGAGGAGGAGGAGGAGGGGGAAGTATGTCTGCGTTGGATCAGGTGGCGAGTGTGCTGACTGCCGACCAGCTCGCCCTGCTGCTCAAGGTGAGTGAGGCCGTGTGGGGGCATGGGTGAGCGGGGCACATGGGATGGTTGAATGGGTCACACGGTTTCCCTTTTGATTTTTGAGTCAACTCGTGTGCCGTGTGCCTGACTGCCTGGTGTGTGTTGCTCTGTGGTGGGCTGTTGCAGTGCCTTCAAGGGGACACTCAAAGCCCTGGCAACGCTCGACCTAAAATCACTGTTCCCTGTCTGGTGTGTGTTTGCTCGGTGGTGGGCTGTTGCAGGTCCTTCAAGGAGACGTTCAAAGCCCTGGCAGCGCACAATCGATGCAGCAGCAAGTGCAGCAGCAGCACCAACAGCAGCAACACCAGCAGCAGCAGCAGCAACACCAGCAGCAGCAGCACCAGCACCAGCACCAGCACCAGCAGCAGCAGCAGCAGCAGCAGCAGCAGCAGCAGCAGCAGCAGCAGCAGCAGCAGCAGCAGCAGCAGCAGCAGCAGCAGCAGCAGCAGCAGCAGCAGCAGCAGCAGCAGCAGCAGCACCAACAGCAGCAACACCAACAGCAGCAACAGCAACAGCTACAGCAGATGCAGCAAGCACTGGACCTACAACTTCAAATCCTCAACATGCAATCGCAAGCCATGCAATCCCAGCCAATGGACGCATCCACTCATACTGCCGACCCTAACACCGCTTCTGCTTCTTTCAACACCAATACCAACGCCTCTGCTGTTGCTGCTTCTGCTGCTGCTGCTCCTTCTTTCAACACAGGCGCCACTGCTGCGTCCGCTGCTGCTAATAACGCGGATGCCTCTGCTGCAGCAGCTGCCTTTGCCCTGGACGGCAAACTACCGGACCTCTCAATCGACCCGGGGCCATTGGACTGGGCAGATGGAGACGGGATAGACGTGTTTGCACTGGAGGAAGGCGAGGAGCAGGCGCTCGTGCTGGCAAGCACTGCTGCAGCTGCTGGGGCTGCTGGGGTTGCAGGAGTAGGTGGTTTGGTAGCAATGGTTGAGGCTCAGGGGTTGCAGCAGCCAGAGGGGTTTTCAGCCCCCGCTGCAGCAGCGCAAGGCACAGCAGCAGGGGTCTTCACAGGAACAGGGACTCCTTCAGGAATCAATGCTCTTAGCATGACTGCTACCGCTGCTCCTACCACTTCCATGTCTCCCACTGCTTCTCCTGCTTCCACTGCTCCTTCTGCCCACCCCACTGGCACCGGCTTTTCTTTCCATACTGTCAGCCCCAAAGCTAGCCCAACATCTGCCCCCACCGCTGCCCCAACAGCTGCCCCTGCAGCTGCTTTCGCAGCTTCCCCTGGCCTCTCCCTCCTCGCCCCATTCCCCTCCCCGTCCGCCCCTTGGGGAACGGGCTGGGACCACGCCCCTTCTCCCGGCAAATCCAAGCCGTTGATCGAGGAGCTCCGGTTCCGTCCACGGCTGGGATTCTCCGAGGAGATCGGCGCAGGGCGATTCAGAGAAGCACATCAAGACGAAGGGGGGGACGGAGATGAGGAGCTAGAAAGCCCCAGCTCCCCCTCCTGGTTCCCGGACCTGCGCCGAACCTGCAGCGACAACCCCCGGTCCGCATTCCCAGCCTCAGGAGCCTCGTCCCCGGACCACCACGGAACCCGGGGGGAACGCCTGTTTATACCCCAGAAAAGCGGGCTGGGCGGGGGAAAAAGCGCCGCTGCGTCTCTCACCCTCCCGCCTCTCATGTCCAAGAAACGATCTATCTCCAGTGTGGGCCCCACCAGCCCCCGCGCCCAGTCTCGCTCCCTCCGGCCCTCCCTCCGTCGCAGCGTGGCAGGCCCGTTACCAGACGCGCCGGTTACGATCATTGATGGTACGATCCAGCTCGTGGGAGGGCTGAGCCTCAACTCCAGTAAAGCAGACGGGAGAAGTGGCGGCAGGGGGGACGGGAAAGCGGATTCCCCGCCGCCTCCCTCGCCCCTGCCGCCTCCCCGGCCACCCCGGCCACAGGCCTTTCTAGGGGGAGGCAGTGAGAAAGGGGGAGGGGGAGGGGAGCAGCAGCAGTTGGCAGCAGCAGGAGGGGGAGCAGGAGGAGCAGGAGGGGGAGGAGCAGGGCTGTGGGGCAGTTTCAGCAGCAAGCAGAGCCGGGCTATGCTGCAGGCGAACCAGCTGAACCTGTCCCCCCGGTCAGGGGGGCCTGGGGGAGGTGGGACCCTTTCGTTTGGACAGGATGGTGGATTCGAGGGGGAGGTAGACCTGGTGAAGGCTGGCGGCTGGGGGAATGCGGGAGGGGGAGGGGGAGCAGGTGGGGTGGGCGGGGCGGGTGGGGCAAGTGGGGTAGAAATGGGTGGAGAAGAGGGGGAGCAGGGCGTATCTGGGCAGGCTGTACCTGCGTGCCAACCATTCAGGATGAACCTGGCGAATTCCAGGTTCAACCGCAGTCGCAGCATGCCGATGGAGCGACCGCCGCCCAGGACTGGTAGCAGTGGGGTGGGGACCGGTGGGCATGGCGTCGGCAGGAGTAGTGGCTTGGGTGGGGGCGGTGGTGCTGGTGGTGGGGCTGGTTTTGGTGCTGGTGGTGCTAGTGCTGGTGGTGCTGGTGCTGGTGGTGCTAGTGCTGGTGGTGGGTTTGGTGGCCATGCAGGGGGGATGGTGGCTAGTCGGTTTGCTTTCCAGGGCAATGCTGGCCCGTCCGGCAGTGGTAGCAGTGTGGGTGCTGCTACTGCCGCTGGTGCCACTGATGCTGCCCTGCGTGCTGGTACGGACGCTTCTATGGGTGGGGGCACGGGAGATGGCATTGCAGCAGCAGCAGGAGGAGCAGCAGGAGCAGCAGGGGCAGCAGCGGGGGCAGCAGGCAGCGGGTCAGGGGCAGGGGAGCTGCTCGATTCCAATGTGGCGGATCTGGTGGCCGCATGGCTGTCAGAAGAGAGTCCCAACACTGTGGACGGGGGTGGTGCGGTAGGCGCACAACAAGGGAGTGTGGGAGGAGCGCAGGGAATGGGAGGGGTGGTGGGTGGGGGTGCGATTGGGAGCGAGCTGGTGCAAGGGGGGGAGAATTCACGGCCGAGTTTGGCGCAGCTGCAGCAAGCGATCGGGGAGCAGCTCAAGGTGAGACGGCCTGAGTAGGCCTTGTCTGCTTTTCGATTTGCGCAGTAATTGCTTCCAGATGCAATGTTCTATCCATCTCTTTATTTTATTGTTGAGCATGTCTCACACTTTCATGTTTATACAATATTACCCAATAAAATCATGGCAGGGGTCTGGACCAGAGTCTCCGTTTCCCTCGCCTGGGGTTTTCCCTGACTCGTCTGGGCATCACTTTGGTCGAAGTGTTTCGTGCTTCTCTAGCATTGATGGGCCAAGTTCAGCTTCGAAGGGTTCTGATGCCGCAGCCATAGCTGCGGTTCTTGCTTCAGCTGGCCTGGATGGCTTTGATGGGTCGCCAGGTTTGCTCCAACGGCTTGTGGATTTTACTTCTGGTGGGCACAGTAGCCAGCAGTAATTACAATTGTTATTCTTAGATAAGAGGCATAATTTGACTAGGATTGTTCCCTTTATCAAAGCCAAACCTTGAATAACGATATTGGTTTCAGAAACTCAATGTAAAAGGATGCTCATTTTCGTGTATTGGTTTCCGCGATCAAGTCTATCCTCATTTGCCAAATCCAGCGCTGCGCGAGAGCTGGAGGGACCAGGAGCAGAGCGGAGCGGATTTGAGCAGGACAGAGCAGTGCAGAGCGAAGCAAAGCAGAGCAACCAGCTGGTGAATGTGGATTGCGGTCATTGTGTCTTGGTTTCTCCGTGCTTCGAATCTCCATTCCAGTACTGCAGTCTGCCCTCGTCTCTAGAAAGAAAGCGTAGACACCTTCACTCAAGGAGCCATGAGTGCTGCTGACATCCTAACTCGAGTTGATGTTATCAGACGGCGTTATGAGCCGTACACGAAGGATACTGTTACGAAGGAAGACGCGACGGACAGCTTTATGACTCTGTATGCAGCAGTTACAGTGGAGGTGGAGGAAGTGATTGAGGTAGGCGATAAAATCTGGTGGATTCAAGTTGTCTTTGTTGTTAATATTGGACGCTTATCGCATATGCGCCGTCGCAGAAATCAAGTGCAGCTGTTATTGAGAGGAATCTGGCCAAGGTTGCGGTGCTAAATGCCGAGATCAGGCGAGCTAAAGACATTTTGCAGAAGGAAATTCAACGGCTCGAGAAACTCGCGTATCGGAAGGTATTCAACTACCTGGATTTGAATAAAAGCATTAGTATGACATCTTTCTAAAGTGAATCGAACTTCAGGTCAAAGGAGTTTCGCCTGACGAGGCTGCGAAGAGGCCAGACATGGTCAGAACGCTCTTGGAAAAGGTTCAAGCGATCCCTGATGGCATTGCGAGAGGAGGTGGGAGGACCGTCGCATCGACACGGGGTGTTTCAGACGTCCAGATTGACGCTCTCGAAATGGGTAAGTCATTGACATGCGCTGGTTATTGAGATGTCTGGCTTAACAAGGGACGGTGCTTCAGGCGACTCTGGACCAACAGGGGATCACTTCATCTCAACGGCTGAATCCAGGGCATTCAGAAGTGAATATACTCGCCGAGTCCAGAAGCAGGTATTTGTGGTTTTCTGTGTTTCAACATGAATAGAGCTCACACCACTTTGTTTGCAAGATGCACCGATCTTGCCTCCGCTGTCAATCACGTTATGGTCTCTGTTTGCTTTGCAGGATGTCGAGCTGGAGTACATCTCTAGCGGTCTTGAGAAACTGAGGCATCTTGCCCAAGACATGAATGAGGTACTTTGTTTTCCAGTGAGGCATCTTGTTGTTTAATGGCACATAATGTATTCGCTTGTTTTCAGGAAATGGATCGTCAAGATCCAATGCTGGAAGCAGTAGAGAACAAGGTAAGCTGGTGGCGATGCAATTTGTTTGATGGCGTTGAACTGCTCAACTCAAATTATTTTTGTTTCTTAGGTCAACTCGACAACTCAAACGCTGCGGAACAATAATAAGAGGTTGAAGGAGATTCTGACCGAGGTGAGGACAGAGATGTGGACACATTTTCCCACTTGGTTTTCTCTAACTTTTCTGTGTTGGAATAGGTTCGGTCACCACGGAAGTTCTGCATTGACCTTATACTTATCCTTGTGCTTCTTGGAATTGGAGCATACCTATATAGGTACTTCTACTGTGGCCGTACTCAGCATTGTCTTTTGTGGCTCTCAGTTTACTCACCAGGATCTGTTACATTTGGCAGTGCTCTCAAGTGATGCAGACAAATATGGGGTTGACACCTGTACTGTTCACAAGAGAACTAAAGACACTTCTTTTATATACCTTTTTTGTGTTTGTGTATAAAACATATGCCATAAAGACTGCTAATTGGTCCAATCACATAAGCCTAATCTCGATGAACGCGAGAAAATTAAAACTTGCAGGCCAGACTGTTAAAACCAGGGTACACATTCAACGCGACTCCAGGCTAAATTTTGGGCGGCATGTTTGCGGGAACTGCTGATTGGTTGACGAGTAGCGAATAAATAGTTGAGAATGGGCGAGCATGGGGCTTTTCGTCCGTGAGAGATGAGGCTTGGCAGGGGAGAAATTGATAACACTTGGATCTAGAAATTGGGGATCAAGGGGAGGGCAACTGGGTTGGCGGAAAGGGGAAAGGGGGTGAGACGATATTGTGGGGGAAGGGGAAACAATTTCGGTGGGAGCGGAATAGGTATGGGGAGGGGGGAAACGAATTGGCGGAAGCACATTCGATGACTTCGGTTTACATTTGCCAAATCTCGAGGGTTCAAATGTTCACCTGCTGAAGCGAACACTCCCCCTAGATATTCCTAAATCACTGAGTAACCCCGAGGTCAAAGGTTAACCTTTGACAGAAATCCAATTGAATGTGCACCCTGGTTTTAAAGCTAGGAAGGTTAGTTGGGGCGGGGCGAGGTGCCAAATTGTTCAGACTAAGGAAGATTTATGGCTTTGTCGTCTGGTTTTTGTTAGTGAGGGAGTTCCAGCTGAGAACGAAGAGTTGAAACGTACAACGATGTACTATAGAAACTTTGTCAGAATAGCTATTGGATCGAGCTATGGGAGAGTCTGGGAACGTCCTCAAAGGGATTTAGAGTTAGGAGACGTTCGGGTGTGGTTCGGGGCCGATAAGTTAGGCCGAACCACGGCCTCAATAACCAGCCTTCGGTTTGCGGCATCATTCATTGACTGTGTGAATGCCCAATCAGATGTTTGGTGCCAGGGCCTTTCCCTACGGGTAAGTAGCTTTTGCGGGGGTACTACTGGCGATCCTGCGCTTTCTAGGGAACTACAGTGCTTGTTGCGGGCACTTTCCGCCCCTCCGCCACTCCGACAGGAAAATTATGGCAACGGCGCAGAAATCGGTCCCACATTCACCCACGTGTCGCAAATTCGGAAAGTTAGAAAACGCACGGCAGAAAAAAATAAAGCCCATAGGGAACCTGGACTCATTTTCGGGAGGGTTCAACCCTAAACACGGGAACCCACATTTTTTTCAGGGTTGATGCCTCCCCGAGACGCATCCCTTCCCGATTGGGTTTTAGATTTTTTCGGTCAGGTAAAGGTATATTTTTTCCAGTGGCTTGCGAATTTTGTGACACGTGGGTGAATGTGGGACCGAGTTCTGTGCTGTTGCCATAATGTTCCTGTCGGAGTGGCGGAGTGGCGGAAAGTGCCCGCATATAGCACTGTAGTCCCCTTGAAAGTGCAGGGTCGCTAGTAGTACCCCTGCCAAAGCTACTTACCCTTTCCCTAATCCCGAGAGTCGGCCAACGCCCATTCAGTGGTCTCAAACGAGGTCTGGTTTGCCCGCCACCACCCACACTCGGTCTTGGCTTTCTGTTCATTTTCAAAACCTTACGTAAATGCTTTGGTTTGCGACGGGCTGCAGTGAGTTCGGATCTCCAAATGGCGGCGCGAGCACAAGCGGCACAATCACCACCACAAAACGAATCTGTCAACTCACCTAGCCATATCGGTTTGGTTTGGGCTCACTATTTTCGTGGGTTACTCCGGGGCTAGAGAACAGGTTCGAGATTCCGGGACCATGGATTTGGTTGGGGTGCGTACTGTATTGCCCACGTGGTTCCAGTTTTGATCACCAAGCATTCCCAAGCCAATTCGGGAAAAGAGCGAGGTTCGCCAAACAAAGGATGTGTGTGATGCTGTAACACTTGACGGTGATTGGGCTGGTTTGTTCGTGTGTGTGCTCCAGGATTCGTCCATCTCCGGTGGTGTAATATAGTCCAGAAAACGAGCATCACGTACGGCACGTCGGTTGCGGCATTGGCTGGAAAGAGTGACAGCAGTGAAGCTCCACGAGCAATCAAAAAGCGTCACCTTCCACTCAACCACGTGTGAGGAGAGAATTTAGGAAGGCATTCATGATACAGTAGTACATTCGTTTTGTGTTCCATTCATTTCACATCTAGTTCTTCTCGTCGACTCCAAGCCCTTCCCAAGTCCTCCCTCAAGCCGACCCCGGCTAGCTTCGCTCTCAAGGCGCGTCACAATCGATCCCCTCGGCATCCTTCAGTAACTTTATCGCTTACTACAGACTCCACCTTGTTACAAAATTAATACAAGCAGTAGTATGGCGCGCTTCTTCCCTGCTTCCGACCCGGCGATCGAGCGGCATTTCGCGATGCTAGACGCCGCCGCGGGTTCGGCGTGTAAAGGCGAAGAGGAAGCGTGGGAGCACGCGGGCCGCGAAGGCATCCGTTCCAGCCACGGCCACTATTTCCGAGACGTCGAGCCGAGAGCTACTGAGTCGACGCGAAAGGGGCCCCGAGAAGGGATTCGATCAAGCCACGGCGGGTCCTACTTCCGCGATATGGACTGGCGAGCCGCCCCGATGACCGACCGAGCTTCAGGTGAGCGAGCCGCCTTCGCGTTCGTTTATCGTCCGCCTGCGATCTGCATCACTTCCTCGCATTCGTTGTAACGGCTTGACATTCCACATGACTCTTCTCTATTCGCGCCGTTCTCAGACAATACACCAAAATTTTCTAATTCGATTCGCATCATTCGTCTTCCTTGCTCGGACCTACGCAGAGTCGGTGCATGGCGGCGTGCGCTCCCGAAGCGAATCCGCGCGCAACCGCTGGCCCATCGGCGGAAGCTTCGCACTCGGGAGTTCCGGCGCGACAAGCCGCGGTGGCGCCAGCAAAAGCCCCCTGCAGGCATACCGAGCCGCCGTTTATCAAGCCCCTGAGGCCTCAAGTGACATGGGCGGCGCGAGAACTTCAATCTCCTCTGCGACCCCACAATCTTTTACTGCAGATGTTGTCGGCGTCGCGGAACCTTCTTCTGTCAGACGGTCAAGCACCTGCACAGCTTTGTCGGCTGTTGGTAGCAGTCAAGTGTCGGGTAGCCGTCAAGAATCGCCTAGGAGCCCGTTATTGTTCGTGGCCGGTCGCTCTCCCTCTGAAGCGTCTTCTAGCAGCAGCGAATTTAATCCCAACGAAATGTCCTCCGCTGGGACAGAGTTGAAGGGGAGGATAAATGTGGGAGATTGCGCTGTGAAGGTGGTAGGCGGAGCGAATCCCGCCGCTGTTGAGTTGTACTTCAAGCGGAAGGCGCAAGAGAGAGCGCGTGCTGCTGCTCCTGCTGCGCGACCTGCGGCTGCCCTTGCTCCAGCAGTTGGCAGCTAATTATGCATTTTTAGCTAGTGCAGTATGTACCTATATTCTTCCACTTCCTTTGGATAGTTTTTAGCTATTACGAGTTACGGGTATATAGCCATGTTTGGTATGTAATCCAGATCCTGTCATATCGCTGTGACCAGCCAGAGCAAAGACAAAATTGCACTAGTGTTACAAATATAGCAAATACAGACTGCCTGCTTTATTCACTTCCGCACAGTTCTCGCAGCAGTCGCGCCGTCCCTCTGCGCCTTCATCCTCAAATAAGCTTCCACGGCAGCGGGATTCGCTCCAGCCTTCACACGCATCGATAGCGCAGCGTTTCGAACAGGCGAATTCGCTAATGCCATCTCTTGCGCACTCCATCCCCCCTCTACACCCCCCTGCCTCCCCGGACCGGACGCTTCTCCCCCCTTCTCGCCCGTTCGCTCACTATCCACCAAACCTGCTTCCGCCGAGGGGTGCGATTTGGAAATACCGAACCTGGTTCTCAAGGCACCGGGGCTCCCGTTCGGACTTCCATTATTGTCACTCAGGTTCGGGCTGGTACCACTGGAGCGACTGTTACCACCGTTGTTCCAGCCTAGGCCCGAAGCGCTGCAGCTGCTCCTGCCAGTAACACCACTCGAAGAACTTTCCGCAGCAGAAGGCAAGCCCCCGAAGCTATGGCTAGTCGCTTGCGTGTCTAGGCGGTATTTCATAAGAAAAGGATCCACGGAACCGCGCACCGAAACTGGGGGAGAATTAACCATCGGCTGCGCGGGACGCTCGTTGAAACTTCCAGCGCATTGCATCCTTTCGGAAGGAGAAAGGCCAGAGCCGTTGGTGGTAGAGGCGGGGGGCAGGCACGCCCAAGGCACGACAAAAGATGCTGCGAGCGAATCGTCCCCCGTTATTGGCGGCACTGCTTTGTCGTTGGAGACGTGTAACGCGTTGAGCGCATCTTGAAGCTGACGTTGCTCAGAAGTTTCGGCCTCTGACGTCGAGTTGATTTGTTGAGATTCGTCGTCGTCTTCCAAAAGATCCGTGAGATCTATACCGTCGATCTGCAAATTGCTTGAATCCATCAGCGCACACGACCGTTCAATGTCTGCGGGAAGAAAAAATAACCAGAGGAAATACATGAGTTAAAAATGCAGAGGCACGTGTAGAAGACGAATCGACCCGATTACGCGTTATGCATTACGTATGCACATTGCGAATACAAGACTCCTCTAACAGCAGTCAGCTGTCATAAAATTCTGCTGCATTGGTAACGAGTATACTACACACGCGGATTACGGGTTTCTCGGGAAAGCAACCAGCTTACCATCCCATCCTTTCTTCGAAGACGCACTCGCGAACGCGTCCTTTTCCATGTCTCGAAAACCTCCCGGCGGTGCTCCAAGGTTGCTCGTGACTTGTATGCTGCAGGCTGCCACGGTGCAGGTCTTGCTCGCCATTCACCGCGAAACTCGGCCAAAATATCGACAATAACCAGGTTCTATTCTCGTATACTTTTATGCTCAGCTGATTACGGCCCGCTCCTGATTTTAAATCGAGGTACAGTAGCTGGTGGTTTCTTGTGGCAGAGAGAACATTAACCAGAG